AATGATGGCAAAAAAATATATCCCTTGTATACACATATATCCATGAAAGTCTGAAACAGTTTTATCAATACCACATTGTCCAACTGGTGAATCAATTTCAATCTTGTAAAATATATACGCCTGAATATATATATATATATCTATGTATATGTATATATATGGAAGTGTCCCTAGCTGCCCGCTTATATGACATTGCCTCCATCATTAATAACTAATGCATGTAAAGTTCACCGTCTTGGCTTTGTCAGCAAATCCTAGCAAGTGAGCTGGATAGTTTTCCCTTATTTTTAGGTGTTGAAGATGTTGTAGTCATATAAAATTCTCTACTTACTCTAGCCACTATCTCGTTATTATTTTTGAACACATTTTCCAACCGTGGATAGAATTGCGAAAATCTCTGATTGTCAGTGCCAATTTAAAGGGATTTACCTTGAATGTTGTTTAAAAATGAGCAAAATCTGAATTTTCATATTGTGGACAGTCCAAGATCTGAACTCACACAAATGGACACATATAACACCACCTGGCAACTTAATGACATTGCAACAATTTGGATACATCGCCTCCGGAGTCACTACGGAAAAGATTGAACAGGTTAGGTGCAACCACTGGTTCATTCACAGCGTGCATATTAGTCTGAGAGACACTACAACCAAAAAACTGCTCTTTCATGTAACTCACGCTCTACTGTGAGTTTAATGGAACCGACCAACGAGGTGAGGTGAAACAATATGTTGTCGGCAAACGGTACTTTCCACGATATCGATCTCTTCAACCGTCTAACCGTAAATGGCCTTGGTAGATTAGCACAATTGCGCAAGAGTTACTTTTCAAATGGAGGCAAAAGGGCAGCGATTATGGAAGCCACGGTGATTATATCGCTCTGTAGTAAAGTGGATTTTTCAAACGTAAAGACATCTGAACGTGGTTGCAACTCTAAGCCGGCAAATTACTTCGTACTTCACCCATAGGCGATCGGTTAGGTTGTGGGATTCATTAGGCTTCCCTGCAAACTCTGCAAACTGAAGACGTGTATATTCTCTGCGGGATCTTGATCATTCAGCGAAATCACTTTCTCCAGCATCCTAGAGGTAGAGCAAAACACTCACCATCATTAGTTGAAATGAGTCGACTGAGCTGAACAAGCTGTTTGCAGTCCGTAAGTCCAAGGATGTATACACAGCAAAAGAACTTTACATTCTAAAACTAGAATTCTCTTCCTCCACTTGCGAATTAAGCACATTCGCTTGACGTTTTGAGGAATAAAGTGAAGTCCGATTTGAACTCTTGAATCACTAAATGGAGAAGCTTAGTATAGAGGAGAATGTCGGTAGCTCAGGTAGCGTAGATAGTCGTTGGCTTGTTCGCTGAGCTGGGCAATTTGGTTGCAAACGTTTCATCACCAATCGAGGTGACATCATCAGTGCGTAGTTGTGCGTAGCGGTGGGTTAGTGGTTGTGCGTTCAGTAGTGATACGTGTGTGTTGATATACTTGCTGGTAGCCGGGGATGACCTTTGACCGCGATTAGTTATTCTGTCGGGCGGTTCCATTGGTTGCTCTTTTTATCCCGTGTCCTCATTCGCCGATGCCCACGTGACTTTTGAACTTGGCATCCCTCGCCGTCGTAGTCTAGTCGATGTTGGAGTGACCTTTGTCCTTCCGAGTTCCGGTTGTGACCTTTATTGATTAGCTTAGTTAGCGTGAGTAATACAACGTACCGACTACTCAGAAGTGTCTTGTCCGCTTACCTGTACGTTGCTCTAAAAGTCCGGTGGAAATGGTTTTGAAGGCGGGCTTGTGCAACCATAGTTTAGCCTTGAAATTAACACTCAGGGGAGAACAATGTCTCCTGTGTAAATTCCTCTTAACAGAAAGCTTATGTCTAGCAAACCATTAGTAGTGGTAACCATAGCAAAAGGCAGAACATAAGCAGAAGTTTAAAAATAGCAAACTGTACATTGAGAAAAGAAAGTGATGCAGCATGACTAAGTTGGGAGTCAGAGATGGAACCGAAGAATATGGTGCGAGAAGACACTCGGCTGCAACGTTTACAAATTTACAGTTTGTAATTTACATTTTACAATTTGCAAATTTATAAATTTACAAAACTTAAAAAATTTTCTCTGCTTGAGACACGAAATCCTTCACGATCTTTTTGTTGTCCACGAAAGCGGTTGTTTGTGGTAGGTAATTGATCGTACAATTAAAGGTTTATCAGTAAATGTCAGCATTTCTTATTGATCGCATATACTGATGATTTTTCATCATTTCCAGGAGTGACGAGCAGCACTGAACTGTCTAGTGGAGCCAACGATCATGCGCAGGATTGACAGTGACGATTGTTATGGTGGGTGAAGCATACAGCGGTATCATGAATTTTAGCCGAAATATTCCGTTCCATTGATCTAATGAGGGGCTACGCAGAAGAATTGTCTAAAGATATGAAGGCAAATAAGGGATATTTGTGCTCATATATTGTAAAAACGACAGGTTGACATTAAACGCCAAAAATAATTTGGCATAAGTATTATAGATTCAAAAGTCCTCAAGTGCATGTTCATTTTTAGTGGTGATTTATGTTTGTGGCTCAAGCAGGTTCCGACTGACATGTGTCTGTAAGAGAAAGCGGAATGTAAGGGGCAGGAATGTTACGTAAATGGACCTGTGAGAAAAAAGGGTAAAACTAATACGTGGAACGGAACGTAGCCGCCTCGAAATGACTGTTCACATTTTGTGAGGCTGCATATGTTGGGAATCTGGATGATGAATTTGTGGTTTGGAACACGATACTTATGGTCGCTTTGAGAATAAGACGGTGTTACCCCTATCGTTTGGGGTCACGAATGAGGGTGAACAACTTGATTTATATCCACTCTCATGAAATTTTATCCGGATATTTCATATCCATGTTAAGGAAGAGGTGACTCCAAAACACAAGCATTGTCTTGGCATTGGTTGGATTACATCTTAATGGAATACCAAGTTCTTTCATGGAGACTTCTGGAATTACTCCGAAATAAAATGTGGCAGTTTGCCTGTAAAATTTAGGCAGCCTGACGGGGTTACGATGGACGTGCACGCAATCACAGACGTTCTCTTCTCGAACATCTCAAGTGCTAATCCGCGCGCCTGCTTGAATCGCACGCAAACCTCACCGATCCAGATCAAAACCGGAGATTATACATATCTTGTTCATAGCCACACCACTCTCGTTTGAACGGCCGTGTTCCTGTTCTGGTGTATTTATCCGGGGAGTCTACACCAAAGGGAAGCACTGGACTCGAGTTTCGCTCTTATCAGAGATCATCAGCAGTGCATATACAATGGCCGTGCCGTGAATTGAACCCCGGACATCTGACATGCTAGGCGAGCGTGTTACCACCACCCCACCAACGCACGTTGGACGCATCTGTATTATGGCGTCTGAACAGGCGAACGTGTTCACACTTGAGCGATGTGATTGGTGTGCCCGACTCATCGAACGACGACCCAGTAAGTGTCCTGGTTGTGACGACCAACCATTCATATCTGTGCACCAATCAGAAAAGACTTCCAGCTTACCATTTAGTGAGACGACCTAAATAATCCAGACTTGGTGACCGATCAAGGGCAGTACCTACATCGTTAGTTCCTAGGTCGGGTGACACTAGAACAACCCAGGATGGGATGGAGTCGGCAGTGCTGGTCAATTGCCGGGCCCTTCGAGAAAAGCAACCCACAGTGGAAAAGTAACCAGCACACAGCGATAAATGCATCACACGCATGCATCATCACACAGAAATCATTTGTCCGCAGTGGTTCACTTAGCATACAAAAACAAAGATCTAAATCACTGATTCTATCCCATCGGGAACACGATCGTGACAAAACAACATTAAATCCTGCAAACTGATTTGGGTTGTTCAACGACCCACAATGAAGGGAAAATTGCCAAGTTAAGGAGGAATAAAAGCAGGCACGGTGGCTCTGGATCTAGGACTTCACACGGGCAAAAATTTACCCCTCACCTAGTTAAGAGCACCGAAAGTCCTATAAAACCGGGAGCAGAGAAAATTGATTCAAAACCGGGCTTTTGATCAACAGTTAATCATGCACGGAGATGGAGCAGCAAGTAGATGAATTAAATCACGAACGTATAGCCATAGAGTTAAAAGCACCAATGTTGGATATTTAACTAGAACTTCAACAAATGACTGAGGCGTGGCGTGAATACCTTTCGAATCGTTAATTTGGACCTATGTGTAATGTTCTTTAGGCACACAAAAGCAGATGCACCACTAGCATAAACCAATTAGTGCACTTTCTCATCGTACCGCTCAACTGTAAGTTCACTTTCAAGCTTTCAGGGTAAAAGCCTTTAAACTGTAGGGTTTAAAGTACAGCGGAGGCAGTTGCCGTCATATTTATTGACCCCTCGGGGAAACACCAAACCACAAATCATAAATGACACCCGAGGGGAATCTACACTACCAGGGAACCAGAAAAGAAAACTTAAGTCACATATCATTTTCTCGCCCATACTATGAGAAAATCCATTCCTCGAAAACCAAGAACGATTTAATCTGCTAGTTGGACGAGATTTTGAAGCTTCATTCTCTGTCTGTGCTTTAACTGTACAGACCTAGTGTCCTAGTCACTCAACTTGATTGAGCTTGTGCTTTAAAGGCAAAACGTTGCCCAACAATAAACCAACAAAACAATAGAAGGACCTACTAATTGTTATCACAGTGACTCAAAAGATGATTTCTCTCATGGTTCCAAATGACCGATTGGATGGATCTACTTAGAAGACTAAGAACAATACATGTGCTTTATAGCTTCCGCCTAACTCATTAAAAAACAGTATGGTAGCTGTACGAATACAGCCCAGGACGTATCGGTGCTTTGCAAGGTTACAACAATTGGGACTACGATCAATGCATTCATTTGCATATCAGTTTGGTTTTAACGGGAGTTTCGACTGAAACGCGGCTGAATATCTCATTTTCTGTTTTCTTAGCTGGGATTCAAATAAGTCTCCCATGAAAATCAAACCGGTAAGCAAATAAGTGCATTTCTTGAATTTCATACAATTTGGGTTCAAGTAGAACGAAAGTTTGAGGAAAACTTGGAGGACTTCACTTACCTGATGAGTCCCAAGAAGGGCAAAACCAGTCGCGGGCTGCCACGACTTTTAGCTCTCAGCAACCTCATGAATAGAGAGTCACATCTATTATTGGTACTGGTTTTGTTACAGACGATGTAAATGACGCATATGTCTGCGAAAAACTGCGGGGACGATGGGTTGAGCATAATTGCCCATGGGGGGGGGTAGGGTGATATGATATTTTTTTACCGCTCAGCACTTTTCAATGAAACAAAATTTACCATTGTGTAACATTTGCATTTCTATTCAAATAGAGAGGAGGAAGAGATGGTCAGATGAATAAATTTACTGAAACTATGGCTACCGGAAATAAGGTTTCTATGGGACCTAGCAATGTCGCCTTAGGTGAGAACTGTTGAAGAACGCATTAAAATTGTGTACGTGTGAATTGCGCTAAATCTACATATCGTGATGTTTTGGAATCAAATTTAACTATTTTAACTGATCCCGAATAGTTTTATGAGAGAAGGCTGACTTCGTTCGCTTCTGTGAACGACCAATCCTTGATCCACCCCAACCGAGAAACGCTTTCTCATCCTAGATATATCCTAATAACGTTTCACAACATACACACTAACGGGTTGCTGATTACTACGTATTCCAGATAATCAAACTCTCGTGGGTTCGGACTTTAGTGTTTTTAAAGCAGTTGGTCTAAATACTACTGTTTGTCTCTTCGTACCAGTCATTACACGGTATCCTTACGTAACAACTATTTTTACTGTTCTCACTGCATTTTGTTATGCGACACAATCCAGTGGTAGGCCAGTATCCGTACACAAACCAGTGCTGATAAATCTGGCGCCATCTACTGGTTCACTTGCTCCCATGTAGAGCCGTAAGCAAACTGACGTGCATTAATCCAAAGTGATTCATCTGCGAAATGACAATTTGTTCTGATAGCTCAGTGGACAGGGATTCGAGACAGCCGCAAAAATGTTTGCTAAATTGCAGCACATTTGGTTACGTAACTCATTACAATAAAGCAAGTATTTGATTTGTTCACAGTGATATACTAAGCAGTAGAGTTAACTCACCACTGAACCAGCGCGGATGAGGTTGCTCAGAAAATGTCTGATGTGTTAAGCGCCGTTTGGTTGTTGAAACCCGGGGAATAATGGATATAATGAGGCATTATCGATAAGAGGAAGTCAGTTCTAGGAAATTAATCTACTGCAGACTTTGTTCTGATTTTGGGTAGTTATAACAAGATTTATTTGCATGGTTATCTGGTTTTGCGTTAAAGCTAACCTGGAGAGGCATCCGAAATTAGATATGTGTTCCCACTGCCTACATCCATTTAAGCGCCTGCGTTCAAATTCGTGGGCAGTCTGACTTTAGTGTGAGTAGCATATCAATTCTCTCCGTGTTTCCAAAAGTATGGTTTTAATGTTAAATGCAAGCTGGTGTAAACGGGATGAGCGAGTTATCCTTCAAATGTAACATGCATATTTTTGCCGTTTTAGCCAAAGAGCTTAGATCAAACATTTGGAAGTGTGCTGTCTTCCTCATTGCAGTCTGCAATGTGGTTGCCAAAATTCTGAGCAGGCTTGAATTCTATTCTTTGGTGAACAAACGGTAACTCATGAGGAGAGGGCAAAGGAAGAATTTTTCCTTACAAAGTACCGGGATTTTGTCTTCAACCTACAAGTCTTCGTATACGTTTAGCATCGGTTCCTGGAGTGCTCACATTGCATGGCCAGGTAAACAGTGTTTCAATAATAAT